GCCTTGGCCTCTCCCAAAAGGAACTACTTCATTTACACAAACAACAAGCTTCGGTCGCCTAATCCTATTACTGTAATTTCGATTTACTTCATTGCTACATTTGCCATAACGCAACGAAAACAATTCATGAAAATATTTAATCAAAAATCTTCAAAATGTAAGTTTTTTTCCCGATTTCGGCCATTCCCCGGCCATTCCCCGGCCATTCCCCGCTCATTCCCCGACCATTCCCCGGCCATTGCCCGGCCATTCCCCGGCCATTCCCCGGCCATTCCCCGCTCATTCCCCGCTCATTCCCCGCTCATTCCCCGCTCATCCCCCGCTCATTCCCCGGTCATTCCCCGGTCGTTCCCCGCTCGTTCCCTTCCCCGTTCCCTTCCCCGTTCCCTTCCCCGTTCCCTTCCCCCGTTCCCCGTTTTAAAGATAGCCATGAAAACAGGATTGAACAATGTTTTGCTGCCCACATTGTTCATAGCTGTCAACAACATTGAACAATATTGTTACACCCGATTCAGGCTCAACAACATTGTTCAATATTGTTGACAACTCACAAGTGTGAACAACGTGGGCAGCAAAACATTGTTCAGCCCTGTTGAGCAACGGGCTCGGCGTTTTTTGCCGTGTACACGAGTAAAAATTATCATGTTGATGCAAGTTGTTCGAAACAGGAGCGAACAATGTTGTGCTGCACCCCGTGAACAATATTGTTAACAAGTTGTTCAACCATCAATATTGTTGCAACTTGTTGACAATCATGTTAACAACTTGCAACAGTGCTGATGGTTGAACAACGTGTTAACAATATTGTTCACTGGGTGCAGTACAATATTGTTCGCTCCTGTTTGAACAACGCCGAACAACATGATCAATTTTTACCCGTGTACTTCATGTAAATCTTTTATATAGTGACTCGTATGTGAAATCGTTTTATATAGCGCCTGGGGACGAGGCAGATAAGCAACTTGCCATATTAAAACACAAAAACATCCATTATAAATTTCCAATAAAAATTGTTGCACTTAAAAAATTTTTAGTTCAGCATCTAAACTGGATGCAACGGTACTGCGCTTTGATCGTATTGAGCATTTCGCGTCTGATGACGCTGTTCCCTTGGCATTGCAACATATCGTGGAGGGACCTCATGTACCACTTCGTTTTGGTAATATTGTGTTCTCTAAAACAAAAAATATACCCCGCTATAGGGTGATGTGGAATCTCTGCTCCCCCCTCCACGTCCATGCAGTCGAGAGTGCAGCTTTTTCTTCTGTCTCCCAGACGCGCTTCTGTACTGGAAATTGCAATTGACCGTGAGGAGGGCCCCCTATACCTCTTCACAAAATGCTTTCACGTAAAAATATTTTGCCTTTTCAAGAGTCACGAAAAATTGAAAAAATTCCTTCACGTTCACGGAAAAATCGAAGCGATCACGATTCACGTAAAAATAAAACAAAGTTCACGAATTATTATAGGATGTCTTCCTTAATTGTAGAATCATTGTACTCGTCTGTACTTACCTCAACGTGCTTTCAAACCTCCAACTATGTCGAAAACAGGCTTCTGTACATCAAGTACTTCAAAAAACAGCAACAAGCCGTATTTATTGCTTGGAAAGCTGATCACACAAAAGGTCAAAACAGATGATTCACGAATCCCGCATATTTATATCTGCCATTCACGGGTCACGGTTAAATCGAATCGGTTTCCTTCATGTGCACGTAAAAAGATTGGAAGTCATACCATCACGAATCACGGATTAAGAAAATCATCGATCACGTTTCACGGCTAAGTAAAATAAGCCCATCACGCTTCACGCTAAAAGTATAGGGGGCCGGCCCTCCGTGAGGCGTACACTGAATTAAACATTTACGTTCACTGTTTCAAACTTGATGTCTATTGGATGAAATTTGATGTTACTCGGAGCGAACTTCACTGTTGCTAAGGTGAAACTTCCTCTTACCAAATGAGAATGCGGGGTTGTTTACGTTGTACTGTATAAAATGAAATTCACAATGTTTCTCCGTACTCTACTTAAGTAAGTACCTTGACGCCATCTTGCTCAGAAATACAGTATAAATTAAGCATGTGAAAAAAATCCTGTTCGAATTATTCCGGGGAAACATTGTGAACTTCATTTTACAGTACAACGTAAACAACCTCGCATTATCATTTTGGTAGAGGAAGTCTTACCTTAGCAACAATGAAGTTCACCCCTAGTAACGTCAACTTTCCGCATCGAATAAACATCAAGTTTGAAACAATGAACAAATGTTTAGTTTATGCACGCCTCGCGGTCAATTGCAATTAGCCATTTTCCAAAGTCCTGGGTCTAGTCGCGCAAATCCCATGTTGGAGGGACAAGAAATATTTATTTATTTATTAAACTTTGCCAAAAACACTTAACAGAACAGCAAATAGACATCTACACAATAAACATGGACAAAAATGGCAGGGACACCACAACAGTGTAAACCAATTACTGTGGGCCCTATATATACAATATATAAACCAATTACTGTGGGCCCTATATAAATATGGCAGCATACATTTAAATTAAAAGTTTAATGTAAAAAGGAGATATTTCATTTTTGGTCGTCTGAAAAGTTGATTTTGATAGTAGATACTTCTATTCTTTCACATATTTGACGCAGTGTCACCATATATTTTGTCCCTCCAAACGATCCCAGAATGCACTGTGATCTCGTTTGAGAAAAGGCTAATTGGCTGTAATAAATATATTTGGGACTTTGGTGGTGCAATCGTTGTAGAGCATATGCGCCTTAATTTCACCTCTGAGGTAGGATCGGTTCTATAAAAAGAGCCCGTCGACGCTCTATTACAACTATAAAACTAATATTAAAAGTATAACGTCTTACCAACGCTACAAACAAAATCCAGTGTGCAAACAGTAGCAGCATGGCGAAGGAACACAGCACCAACACAATATCAGTTGCAAATAACAGAATATAATACCAGAGATCCGCTTTTTTGACCTTGTCACAATATTTTTTTTTTTAGAGGGCTTGTTGTATGCGTATACACCCTTGCAGTTACCCTTCTTCAAATAGTTATGTATATCTGTGGCTGTTGTTGACTTTTCTATGATCACACCCAGGGCTAGCACTATCGTAACCATCACACAGCAAACGCTTATGTATTTCTGGAAAAAAAACGATCGAAGCGATCGTGAAACAACGCAACACTATTTTCGTAGGAATACTGTCAACCTCGCAACTCAGGATCGCTACTTCCGCTTCCTTCCTCAACACTGTTGAAATTCTATGTCTATAGTTATATAAATTTATGTCTATATATATATATATATATATATATATATATATATATATATATATATATATATATATATATATATATATATATATATATATATATATATATATATATATATATATATATATCCTTGGGCTTACCAAAGACTGGTGTTTATTGAAGTAAACGGTCAGGATTACAACAACTCCTGTAAGGATGGTCTAAATAAAGAAAAAATAATCCAACTGAGCACTATAGCGTATAGCTCTGTATCATATATTTAAAAATTTATTAATAATTCATTCAATGCTTGTAAATCGGATAAAGATTTGTCCTGACTTACATAAACTTCAGCTTTGATTTTCTCGGCTTAGACAATGTTTATTTTTAAAATTACTTCGCCAATGAATTCATAAGATGGATCGTTTTTTAAGTGCGAGCGAGGGCACTTTTTTGTCACGGGAAGTCTACTAACTTCACTTGCCTTCACTTTTCGGTAATCGTTCCATGTTTCACGCACCAATATAGTAAACGTTGTGTAATGGATATTATAGTGTACTAAAAACTTAACTGGATACCTCCATACACATATATACATACACTAACCCTAAGTCCTAACCTTAAACCTAGCCCTAACCTAACCCCTAACCCTAACCTATATTGGTGCGCGAAACATGGAACGATAACCCACTTTTCTTCTAGGCCGAATGACTGACGTTCTATAACTCCAGATATATCGGGTATAGAAAAGCTCACTGCACATGCAGGGCATGCTTATAGTCTCGGGTCACTGCATGGTTGCGTCATGTGATATGCCATATGATGCAATGCTCAGTTTACTCTGTGCAACAAAGCAATGAGAATGTATATATATATATAGGCCTAAAATAAAAGCCGTTTTCGAGAGATTACAATATCAAATTCGAATATACATGAAAAATTTAACAAGAATTGCAAAGCCAAAGATAAAGTCCTTTATCACTACTAAGTCAACTACCTTTCAGTTCCGATGCAGACAAAGCTTCGCTCGGAACTACGAAGTGCCTGCATTTAGTTCAGGCTGAGTTTGAACTTATATATAATGTACCATATAACCCCAACAAATACTGTAGGCATATACAAACTCTGTGCTACCGCGGCACATGAGCGATAGTTATGGTTAATTTAAGTTCATTATGGTGTATTGAAACTCTTTCGCAGTTACAGAGACTGAATTACAGAGTTTATATATTTACAATATTATGGTATGATATAATGCAATAAAAACTAGCAGAATGAATTACGACAGACAATTGAAGCGACGTTGAAAGGACATGCAGGTCTTATCGCATTCGCGACTCGGTCGGCTCTGGAGCGACAGCAATCAAACATCGTTCTTATTGTGATAGATATGTCATTTATTTTTATGTATTTTACATATTTTTGTCAAAACATAATTTACATTGGGAGCGACATGTTGAGTTCGACGTTTAACACCGCTCCAACGTCGCTCTATAGTATAGACTATAGTGTCAATCGAAATGTATTGGGTTCGGCCATAGATATCTTATATACACTAGATAGTGCATCTAATTATTCTGCAATTCGAAAATTGAAGCCGTGATTGCAGTCTCAGGTCGTTCCCATGAAATGAGAAGATTCGTATGTTTTCTATTTCTTAAACAGGGAACTTAAACATTAAGTT